GATGCATCCCAGAGCATGAGCTGGTTGTTTGTTACTGATTTAACTCCCCTGCCCAAATTAGCCAAAAAGTCTCTCTTATACATGACATGAGGCCCATGAACACAGCTGGACTGGGGACAGGACAGAGAAAGAGTTGGAGCAAGAAGCAGGAGAGAAAAGAAAAACAGGGGGGAAAGGAGAAAGCCAAAGAAAGAGACTGCTTAGAAATGAAAGGGGCAGACCTCCCTTTGGAAGATGCGGCAAGGTCAGATCTACAAGGGTGCAGATGCCATTCCGGGAAAGACCCACTGCAAAGGCTCCCAGCCTGTGCCGCTCCAAGGAGCTGGGGAGCAGGCAGGCGGTGGCATCTACTGCCCCTCGCAGCCCCCCCACCTGGCCCAGCGTGAGAGGAAACTGAACACGCTGGTTGCAGTGACGGGAAGGACAAGGATGGGCTCCTGTTGGGGAATGGGAACCTGGCAAGTACTGCTGGAGACATCCTGATAAAGCTATAGTTTTATATTTTGAATTTAAGAAATTTTAGCCTCCCTTCCTACAACCCCTGAATGGGAATGAAGATGGAGCCTCAAGATGCATGAATGAGTCACCAGCCAGCTAATTGCTTCCTCAAATGAACAGCACAGCCAGCAGGGGGGTTACAATGTATCCAGTTCAGATCCATATCATGTATCAATTTGCTAATCACATTTGCCTGTTGTTAGCACATCCGGGCACCAATACTGTTGCAACAGTATCTGCCAGCTGCTGCTCCACTTGCTATCTAAATACTAAACCTGGTTACTCTTTGTCTTTATGGAATTTCCTATCTCTGACTGTAAAAGCAAACATTGAAACCTGTTCAAAAATAAAACAGTCAAGAGTTGCAGAATGTATCTGTCACTCAAGAACCTGAAGCATGTTTTCCTGATGATTTCTTGATACTTCTGTGTTGTCTTTGTGTGCCTCTATACTGTTCTTGCATATCACCCATTCAAAGTCTCCTTCCTCTCCCTCCCATGTGTACCTGACCCCGACTCCGTAAAACACTCTGTATAGGCTCTTTCCTTGTAGTCAGTCTTAAACTGGCTGCCTCTCAGTGCTGTTGTATTTAGAAATTCCTGTTTGATGTTAATAAACTGTTGAGTGCTTGACCGTGTGCTCCCTTTTGGATCCGGACATTCATTCTTTGCTGGTCTGAAATCCTAACGGTGCCCAACCATGCCTACCCTTGGCACTAGCCCTGATTCCAGTTCAAGTCCTGACAACTCTTAGAACCTAAGAACAGATGTGCTGCATTGAATCAGACCAAAGTTTCTTTCCAAAGAACACTCTCAGGAAAGGGATTTTGAAGATACCCTAAGATTCTGGTGCTCCTTCGAAGAGGCATTCCTGAACTACATAGTCCAATGGCTGGACTTAGGCCGAGAGTGTTCCAGATGCGTATGCTGCATCAGAGCATTGGCCTAGCACTGCAATGGGGAACCTGCAGCCCATGGATTAATTGTTTGGCCCTCAGCAACATCCCGTTCTATGGACACTCTGGGCCTATGCTTTGTTTTTCAAGCCGATCACTTGGGGAACTGCTTTCCCTTCCATTTCGTGTGCAGCTTTCATCAGATCCAGAGGTGCCAGTTTGAAGAGAACTAGTTTAGAGCAGAGCAGACTGACTTTCCAGCATAAAGAAAGCCATTGCTGACCTTCCTTCAGTCCAAACTTCCAACGGTCCAAAGCTTAAAATCATGCTGATCCCATTGTAGCACAGAGAAAGCCAGTGGTGAGGAAACGTTCAGCCCACCTGTTTGTTTGCCTTTCTGTCAGCCCGGGGTACTCACAAAGCACAAGTACTGTGAGCTCCAAAGCTCCTCCATTTATTCAAGCCGGAAGGAAAGTGAATCAAAACCAAGAAGCACCACTGCATTTTTCAACATATCATGCAGCAGAGGAGAGCATGTAATGAAGCTCTGATGACGCCTGCCAGCTATGAAGGGTCCAGCACTCCGAAAGAAGGCTTTCCTCATTGGTTGCCTTCCAGATATATTGGGCCACCATTCCCAGCCGAAGCAAAGGAAGTTGCAGCCCGGCTCATCCAGAAGGTGCCAGGTTGTGGGCAGCTGTCCAAATCTCTCTTCTCCCCCTTGCTCCAAGCTCTCTGCACCAGAGAAGCAGGATTCTTTCTTTAAAACCTGGGATCAAAGGAGGAATTCTTTCTTGGAGATAGCATATCGTTCCCACAGGAGAGCACAGAAGTGCTGCTGTAATTCCAGCAGTCAGGGACTGGAGCTGACCTGGCTTGCATGCTCTTTATTGACTGAAGCCCATTTGTTGACTCTGCTTTCCTGCTTCCTACTTAAAAGTCTCCAGCGCAGCTGTTCCTAACTTGCCAGAGAGGTAATAAATATTGCTGATGCAGGCACAGGCCGGTGCACCAGCTGTTGTCACGAGGAAGAGGGTCAGCAGTAGCATCTCATTTATTTCGTGAAGCTTGCTTTGCATTCTCTCCCTCTCCAGCCATCCAAGCTGTGTGTTTTTATTGCTCAAGGTGTGCACTTGTTTGTTATCGGAGACCATCTTGACCTAAGATGAACACACCCTGTTCCACGGGCAGGAAGCCATGCTAGAAAATGAGTGCATGCTTCCCTTCTGCCTTCTTCACTACATTTTGTTAGTTCTTGCTGGAGGAAGTGGGAGAATTTGCTTTAAAAGGAATGCTACAGTTAACAGTGTCCCAGAAATTGAGACACCCACCCCCCCAAAAAAAAAATCTGGGTAAGTAAAGCAGCTAAGGACATATTCTGGAAATTGAGAAGCAAGTCAAAACAATACTCTGTTTTGACAGACTTTTTCCATCTCGGATCAAAAACCTAAAGTTGGCACTGTTTAAAAACAGACCAGTTGTTCAAACAGAAAGCTCACCACAGAAAATTTTCAAATGTCGTATGTAAGGAACAAAGTGAGGAAATGGCACAGGCTTCAACAGAAATATCTTGCAAACATCTACCCAGCATCTCGGTTTTATTTTAGCTACTGCACCATCATCTCCCACTTAAGAAAGGGAAGAGAAAGGCAGAGCAGTGCAAGAAGCTCTCCCAGCAGCCCAAGTCATCTGAGAACTTCCATAAAATTCTACAATGAGGCAAAAAAAAGTAACTCCGTGGCCCTTTTAAAGGTTGGCAGCCATCCAAGAACTCACATCCAATCAAGCACTGCCCTGTTTCTATCAATATAGCTTCATTTAAGCTAGGGATGTGCAAAAGAGCTTGTAAAAGAATCTAACCTGAGCACCATTAATACATGAAGACATTCCTTTCTATAGCAGCTGGAAAAATGCTGGAAAGCTATCAAGAAGCTGAAAAGCTATCTTAGCATTAAAAACTTAATTGACAGCAGGAACAAATGTCTCTCTGTTCAGGTAGGGAAAATGCAGTGCAACTTAGAGCAAAAGATCTTTGTAAAGGCCATCAGACAGAGTGATGGAACACTATATTGGAATATTGGAAAGGGAAGCGCAATATTGGAAATGTTTCGCCTGCTCTATAAGTCATACCTCCAAAGTCCATCTGTAGTTCTCAAAAGGTACAAACTTTGATTTTCCATATTCAGTCTTTGAAGCACTAGCCTCTGAATAACAGTTGGACTTGGTTAGCAGATATCTAGGCCCTGATTTGTAAGGAGGAAAATGGAGCAACCATTTATTAACTAGAATGTTTTCTGATTTCTGTTGTGGTTTAAATCCAGGAACACACTCAAGAGCAGCCCACAAATCCATGAAAGCAGAATGGAGTTTCCCCTTTGAGGACCCCGTATATCCATAAATGCATGAACACTGGATACTGATCCAAAGTTGACCAGTTCTCTCTATGTGTCATTTGAATGTCAGTCCTTACACCTTAAGACTTCAACCTGCAACGTACATAGCTAGCATGCATTCACATATATTAATAACAAACTTATTTTCAGTGCCATTTCTTATGTAACCAAAGCAGCAGCACCCCCCCACACAAGAAGGAAGTGTGAAAAGAAGTTCCCATGCCAAAAAGCATATCGAAAGGTCATTTTGACCAGGATCATGGCACAGGATGGATTATACCCCACATATAATAGCCCTAGCCAGTTACAATTCAACTAGTTAGAAAAAGATACGCCCATCCCTGAACTACATGTCTAGGGTGCAAAGGTATGCAGGTTTGTCAGAAAAACATCCTGCAACTCCAGGCACTCCTCAGCCGGCCCTGTTACACAATCAAGCAGTCCGCTGTGGCTTAATTATGCCTCAGTGGGTTGTGGCATGGGGAGGTGGCCCTCCTGAAGGTTCAAGCCACAGCTTCAGTCTGTCCTGTCTTCTGAAGTCAGCAAGAAGGGGTTATGGCATGGTTAACAAAGCACCCTCAACCATAAAAGAGCCCATAGCTTCTGGCTGGTTGCCACCTATACCAACAACTCACCCTCATTAAGGTTAGGTGATGTAACAAACCACGGTTGCTGCTTGAATATTCAGGAGCTGCCCAGCATGCTTATCATGGCTTAAATAAGCTCCGATGGGCTTCAGTGAATGGGTATAAACAGCACGATAACCCACGCCCAAGGACTGGGGGTAGATTGCCTTTGAAACATGGGTTACTTAGCAGTCCCAGTTGCTAACGATGAATATCCCGTGAAGAGGACCTGCAGATTGTTGCTGGGTTGTGAACTGCAGGCTGGTTCACCATGCTTTGTTATCTTGGGGAAGTTCAGGCCACATAACCCATGAGTGCGGCGTCAGCCACTGTACCTTCAGTCACTGTCTGGTGCTGTCTCTCTTAGTCCCTCTGCCTTCCTTTTCCTCATGTGCCAGGGTGCATTCCCTCACAAGTAATTTGTCTGGGGCCATGTACTGACTGCAGTGAGGCTGAGAGCCAGAAGGCAGCAATGCTTGCAAAAATGCACCAGTCTACACGACTCTTTCACTTTCTCTCTGCTTCTCTCCCCATCCTCCCCGGCCCCCCATGCTCAATGGTAAAACTGTGCTCAGGATTCAGCGATGGTTAATTTGAAGTCTGTTTGTTTATTACTCGTAGATCAATATCCCATCTACTTTCATTTCAAGGAGCTCGGGGCAGCATTCTCAATTGTACTTCTCTCAATCTTATCCCCACAACAACAGCCCTGGGAGGTAGGTTGGGCTGAGTCTATTACTGGCTCAAAGCCACCCAGTTGGCTCCATGGCTGGGCAGACTAGTCCCAGTTCCATGCTCTTAACCACTACACCACACTCAGTGTGTGGGGTCTTCTTTTTCTAGCACTTAAGAAATCAGTCAAAGTTCACAATCGTTATCTCCAAACCTAATAAGAGTGCGAAAAAAGAGGCAGGAGTCTTTATTCTTTAACAATGAACAAATATCATTAAAAACACACAGCAGGCTCATGAATACCTGCTACAAAGACAACTACCATGAGAGAGATCTCTTTGTGTATATGACATACTGTCCCTGTCAACTCAGTAACAAAATCCTACAGATGGGAAGCCAGTCCCCCAGTCTAACACTCCAAGATATCACACAGTTTCGGGATGAGATCCCCATGCAGGATGCTTTTGTTGTACATGTTATGATCTTGGTTGGGGTCCATATCTACAAAATACAGCTCACCTGCATGGACATCAGTTAGATTGACCTTAAAGTTGTTGGGATTGAATCCAAGCCATAAAGTACACCTGTACACAGCCGTGCGTATTGAATACCCCATCACTCTTATATCTTTAAGTGCTGGCAAGTCAGAGTTCAGCTCAGGAACATCTCCTGGACGGGGGTACTGGCTGAAAGCAACAGGGGTACCAGATTCTTTTCCTTCATCACTGTCCTTCTCTTGTCCTCCATCCACGAATGGGAAATACTGAACCATGCTGTGTCCCTCAGTGCACAGCGGGACCCGGAATGACGTCTGGGGACACAAGGGTGGAACTTCTAGTCCAGCTAGCTGAGCAAGTGTTGGGAAGAGAGACACCAACTCAACGATTTGTTTGGGTTTCCCTGGATTAGAAGAAAAAATACAAAATAGAGCTCAACAGATGGCGTTATTGGGTGGTAACTGTCCAATGACACTACCTTCAATTAAAAGAAAGAAAAGGATCTCTAGTATCTTGGGAGTAACTCAGTAAATTGGTGTAGCAAACATTTTCTGAGATGTAAAAACAATCAAGTGCATCTCGTGATCCCTGCTGTTAATCAAAATTTGAACACCTGTAATGGAACTTAGACAGGGTATATAGACTGTAAGGTTGCTCTTTAAATACAAACAGACATCCTTTAGGAAAAGATCATTGTTTTGAAGAAAAGCGACAAAATTTCCTCTTTTGAGATGGTGCATGCATCTTCCATCATCCGATGTATTCCCCCCTGTACAGGAAACACGGACCATCTGCTCCATCCTTCCTTTTCTAAAATTGAATGCATTTGAAAATAATCTGTGTGTGTTGTGATGGAGTGGGTGTTGACTGATGCCCAAAGTACTAGGGGCAACGTTTCAGCAAGCAAAAGTTGCATTTTGTTAACAAACCATCCTTTAAACATTGCTATTTTTAGGCTATGATCAATGCTGAAAACATACCTGGAGGCAGACGGCTGAAAATGCGGGTGAAAGGATCAATGAAAGGGAAAAGCTTTTGTCCTGCATGAGGGCGGGGAGTCGTCATTCCCGGCACGTAAAACATGAGTGGCACACGGGTCGCAATGTCAAAATTGCTGTACTTTGCCCATTCGCCATGCTCACCCAGCGACCAGCCTAGACAATATCAAGAATCACTCAAGGAAGACGAGCACCGTCTCCATCTCACGCAGCAGCGCAAGTGGTGTTGCTTCTGGAACAGATACTTCCCACCCTGCTCATGAAATACTTACTCACATTAAGGCTCCGCAGCAGGGAACCCTCAGAAAACGCCACTGTCCCTCCACCCACTTTATGATTAACACGAGTATCTGGAGGCAAGCAAAGGTTGCTCCACCCTCAATTAGCAGAAGGGTCTTATAGCACTGGAAGCGTCACTTCGAAGTCCTTTCCTAATGACCCCTTGCATGGAATTCACCTTTTTCACAGCTGCTCCACTGCAAGCCAACATCCAGCAAGTTACCCACCACAGCCCTAAGATGTCTTTCCTGTCCAAAGAGCAACAGGAAACTCTGAAACCACCCCAGTTAAAGTCAAGATGCTTCTACGTGGGCAGCAATCACCAGACTTGGGTAGAATTCTGCACACACCTGCAGTAGCTGTGCAATCTTCACCTGCTTAAGGGGAAGTACACAGAAGCCCGTGACCTGGATATACCGACTGTGTTCATGAGATCCATATGTACAGAAAGAGAAGGATCCATCATGCAAATGCATGCATGTAGCGCTCAGCAGAGCCTCAGAAGCACAAAAGGCTCACCGTGGTCAGATGTGAATACAACCATTGTGTTATGAGAAAGTCCAGCATCATCCAGGCTGCTCAACAGTTTCCCGACTAGCATATCCAGGTAAGAGATGGATGCAAAGTAGCTCTGGCGAATCTTCCGCTAGAAAGTGCATTGAAAGATGGTCAGTGGATTCCCAACCAGGCTGGTGTCCTCCAGATGCCTTGGACTCCAAATTCCATCAACCCCAGACAGCATGTTTCTCAGGGATTATGGGAGCTGTGTGCCAAAAGCAACTGGGAGGCAACAGGTCACCTACTTCTATGCTGAGAATTTTGGTAAGCTGTTTGTGTAAGTGCCCACGGTATTTTTGAATGGAAGATGAACTGGATTGTCTTATATACTTGGTTGTCTTATTAAGGAGAATGGCTTATGTTTTGTTATTATTCAGATCATGTTATGGCCACAGATCATTAACTTACACTTAGCTGAAGAGTGGAGAAAGCACATCAGCCACCTACCTGGAAGTGCTCTGGAACTGGCCCATAAGGAAAACTGATGTTCAGTGCTTTGACATCGTCCCTGCGCCTGATGTCTGTCCAAGGATTGTAAGCCACAGAAGGGAGTCCTTTAGGAATGCTCGGATCTGGGGCCAGTGTGATGTTTTTCAAGGGATACAATTTGAGAAACCCCTTTAGTAGAGAAGAAGATTTCAGAAGAGCAATTGCAAAGCTTGAATCTGCATGGCTTGGTTTTCCATTGCATTTCTGCACAATTTCTCAAAGCAGAGCTACATATTACACTCAGTATGTGCCAGCAACCAGGCTCTGCCCATTGAGCAGTGTAAAGGTTCCCCACTTAAAAGGAAGGATGCCAGCCACACGCAGGAAACCCATAATATCCACAACCCTTATGGGAGCCCTGCAAAGGGAGACTACTACTAGTAGTAGTGGTGCTGATGGTGCTGGTGCTGGTAATAGTAGTAGTAGTAGTAGTAGATTTCAGATGGTGGGGGCTGAGCCTACTAGAATGGTGGCTTGGCTGAGTCATCCATTTAATTTGGAGCTGAGTAGAGACTTGAAACCAGAATTTTGCAGCTTGTATACAACACTTGTAGTCCCAACAGTTCATGACAGCTTTGCACCCTTCTAGGACTGGCATGTTAGTCATCAACCAGTCAGATATTGTCAATTGACTACCTATTATTTGTTAATAGCTTAAATATAATGTATAATTTTGCTTTATACCTTTTTTTTGGGGCAGCAATTTTCTAGAAATCAGGCCTATTGAACTCTGTAGCTACATTCAGACATCTCAATAAACCATGGTTTCTTGTGATGGGAACAAACCTGTTCAAATCTTACATGCTCCTTTACCTCCTTAAGGAAACGGTGGTTTGTTGAAGCAAGCCAATTATGCTTCACCTTAACTACAGTTACTTGAAACAAGTCAGTTTCATAACTCATGGTTTCAAGTTGTCTTGATTCAAACAAACCATGATTAAAATTAACCACAACTTGTCAAGTTTAATAAGACGTAGTTGAGCAGAACTGGATGCTTCCAAACTTTACTTCATGGCCATGCCAGAAGAGAAAAGCGGAGCGCCGAAGCCCAAGCCTTACACAGACTATATTCCTGAAAACAACCAGTAAGTCATAACATGCACAAGACTGCAAAATACATTTTTCAACAATAAATGAATATTCAAGTTCCAGAATAAACACCTAAGGCAAGAGCAGATTTGGCCCCCAGACCTGAGGTTACACACAGCTGCTCTGCACCATCGTCCCAAAACTTTCTCAAACCAAAACACTCCTTTCAGGTGGGTACTTTCAGCCACACACCCTCACCTGTGGGTACCTGAATGGGATATGAGGTTTGTGATATCCAACAGCCAGGAAAAAATTGTTCTTGCTTTCTTTCATGACTTTCAGTAAGCGGATGGCTTCCTCCGTGCTCTGGATATCTGGCAAAGTCCCCTCGGGCATCTCCGAAACATCCACCGGGCAAATAAGGTTAGCATGCAGCTTTCCATCCTTCCCTTTGCAAACCTTGGAAGAAGGACAGTTGCTAACAAAACACATTAATCATAAGATCCAGATCACAAGGAAGGAAGGAAGGAAGGAAGGAAGGAAGGAAGGAAGGAAGGAAGGAAGGCCCTCTTCCTGTGCATCTCAACTCTCCCCGTGCCGCCTCAAAAACTAACTTTTCTTGGGAACACAGGAAGTTGCTTTCCACCCAGTCAGACCAATGTTCCATCTCACCTGGTACTGCTGGCTCAGACTGGCAGCCATGCTCCCGGAACTGAAACTGAGACCTCCTGCATGTAATGCAGAGGCTCTGTCCCCTGAACTACAGCCCTTCTCTTCAGCTGCGGCCTACAACCTGCCCTTAGACAGCCCTACTACATAGGTCATTGGGCCATGCACTACCGGAAGCTGCTTTCCACTGGCTGGGTTCATCTAGTCCAATACTGTAAGCACTGACTGGCAGCCATGTCCTGCTTGGAGAAGCCAAGGGTGAAACTTGGAACTTTCTGCATGGGATCATTATTTCACTAGGGGAAAAATATTGCAATGCAAATGGATTTTTTTCAGTGTACGTTTTATTAAAGTGTTTTAATTGCTGTGTTTAGTATTTTGCATCAGAAGTTTTATTGATCTGGGGCTGTGTCAAAATTCATTCAGGAAGTGCTCTATCACTGTGCTACAGCCCCTCCTCAAACAAAGTCTTACATAGGCGCATCAGATGCCTTCTTAGCCCGAGTCGGCTCCTAGGCCAATATTGTCAACACGAACTGGCAGCAGGAAGTCTGCAGGGCTTTTCCAAGCCTATCAACAGATGCTAAAGACTGAAGCTGGGAGCTGCCGCATGCACCATCAGCGTTCTGTCACCACCCGTTCCCTTTCGCTTATCCTCTTAAACCTCATTCCCAGCAGTCACTAAACTTATGGAAATGGTATCCTCCCCTCCTTCTGCTAAAACCTCCTACTGTGGTTTCTCTATTTTAATTTGTATGATCAATGGAACACTATTTCATCACTAATTTTAAAGGCTGCACACAAATTAGAATCTAATCTAATGTAAAACCTAACCTAACTTAAAAGAGGGCTGGTGTAATAGGATGATTAGGAGCACAAGACTGGGGCTCGGGAGACATGGGTTCTAGTCCCCGCTCAGCCGTGGAGCCCGCTGGGTGACTTTGGGCCAGCCCCAGACTCTCAGCCCAGCCTACCTCACAGGGTTGTTGTTGTGGGGATAAGACTGAGAGAAGCAGAAAGAGAATGATGTAAGCAGCTGTGAGTTCTTTGAAAAAGAAAAAAGTGGGAAATAAATCTAATAAATAAAACTAGGTTCTCTGCCATAAGATCCTTGAGAGTGGTTATCTTGTCTATGAATCACCCATGTATAGCAACAGTATCTATACACAGCAGTGGTGTCTGTTCACCTGTGCATTTTCGTATTTTTCCGAGGAAGGATGAAAAGCCGGGAAAGACCAGCTGTATGGATAGTCATCTTTGTAGTTGGATGAAATCCCTGAAAAAAGAAGGAGAGAATGCCCCAAAGAGAGCTCATGCTCAGGGAGCAGGGAAGCCAATCCCAGCAGCTTCCAGGCATGCGTGACCCGACTCAGAGCTCACCTGGGTGAAACACTTTGCCCACCGACATGGTGATGTAGCCGTGCTCCTTGAAATACTGGGGCAACGTGGTATAGTTGCCAGCATGCACCCTCCAGTAGGAATCAAAATCGTAGAGCCTGGTGGTGTCAGGCCTGCGCCCGGTGAGGAAGGACACTCTGCTTGGGGCGCACACCGCTTGCTGCAAGAGAGGACAGGAAAGGGACCGTGGATCCATGACCGTGAACAGCCTTGGCAGCGGAAGGCATCTTCAGAACCGGGTCCATGAGTAGGTGATGGAGACGCCCCAAGAGGCAACACTGGGCTGGCTGGAGGATGCAGCGCCCGGGGGGAGGGTGCTTCTGACTGCCACCAACCAAGGGAGCAGCGTGGGGGCAACAAGCTTCCTCAGTGGTGGCCCCCCTCTTAGGTCTGCCTGGCACCAACTCTAATATCGCCTCAGCACCAAGTGAAGTCTATCCTCCATGGCAGGGCACTGAATTGGTTTTGTGTTGTGTTGTGTTGTGTTGGGCATTATGTCAACTGCTTAATGAGTCTTATCATTTAATTTACGTATGCTACTGCAGTGTTGCAAATCTGGCTTTTAAACTTTTCATTGTAATGTTCATGATGTTTTTATTGTTCTTTAAATTTAGGATTGCATTTTATTATATTTTATAAGCCTTTGTAAACTGCCCAGAGTGCTTCAGCAATAATAGCAATGAGTACTGGCCTCAGTAAATTAATTGCAGCTAACAATCAAAAGCCAATGTTTGGCACTGAATAGATGGCAAAGTCTATGCCAGGCAAGTCTCCTGAGGGACAGAATCCCTCAAACTGTGTGCCAACACTGAGAAGGACCTTTCCTCCAGGCACCGTCTACCTTGCTTTTAACGGCAGGAACACCCAGAAGCGGGGATGGGGCGTGTTGGTTGATAAATGCCAAGCACCGGTAGGCTGATGCAGCTCCCACCAAGTGGGTTTCTGCAAAGGAAGAACCAAAAGTTTGCAACGCGCTTGGAAATGGGGCAGCAGCTAAACATTGAGGGAAGAACTCTTAAAGTAAGGGTACCTGACTTACTTGTGCAAAAGCATTTTGGAACACAACGCTTCTCGATGCCAGCTGGTCGATGTTGGGCGACTTCACAAGGGTGTCTCCATAAGAGCCCAATGCCGGCCGCAGGTCATCCACGATAATGAAGAGCACGTTCGTGCCAACTGGAAAGCCACAGAGGTGAAGGACACGTGCTTGAGCACAATTAGTCAGCTCTAAGTGGGGAACAATGATCATAGCGGAACTCTTCTGCAGCTATTTTTAACTCCTTAACTCTATTAGAAAACCAGCAGCAGATCAACACCCAATGTGGAATAATACCATTTTAAAAGGATTAACACCAGAACACTTACTTAAGGGATGCTTAAGCAGTATGACAAAAGAATTGCAGGAACATTCGGTCACGATGGGCACAGCTTATAGGGCATGATTTGGGCTTTATAATAATTTCATCTGATCACACTTCATGTAGGTCAAGCTTAGCCAGACCTAGTTCACAGATTACTACTGGGAAAAGACTACTCAAGGATTAGCCAAGGAAGCTCATGTGAGCATATCTGCATTCACCTTTCCAAATCATGCAAGGCAGTTTAATCCAGCAAGCTTTTAGTAACTTCATTTCATATAAAAATATTTATACATCATTTTAAACCACAGCTTTGCAAACCACCTTGCATATTTTGCAAGTCCTGTTGCAAAAAGACACTTAATAAATGCATGTATTAGTTGTAGATCATATATGCCAAGAGCTGGTACTCTAAAATTGTGATTGTAGGATCAGGGAGACCCAGGTCCCAATCCCCCACTCAGCCACAAACTTCATGGGATGCCCTTGGGCCAGGGGCTTGTGACAACCTAACCTACCTCACAGGGTTCTTGAGAGGATAAAACGGGGGAGGAACTACTAGGTTTTCTGGAAGGAGGATGGGATATAAATACTGCCATGAATAAATGCCCAGGTGGTGCCTCCTTGAAACTGAGGACCCCCCTCCCAAATCCTCATTCCTTTTCAGATCTGCACTCAGATCAAAAGCAAATGTTTGTACCCTGCTTCTTCAGGTACCACATCCACATAAATGTTGCAAGGAATCTAGCAGGCTAAAAGGGGTCCGCACCCCAGCTCCTTATGCATTTCCAAAAATAAAAACTGGTCACAACACTGGTGCATCTCAAAACAAAGCAGCCAGTCAACGTATTACGAAGGTGCGGAGCAGAGGGTAGAGCACTAGTCGTTTTGGGCACGTGGGGGTCACCAGCTCCTTTTGGGGGCTCTTGAACAACTCTGTGCTAAATAAGGACCTAGGAAGGAGTTAAAAGGAGCTGGGCACGAAGAAGAAACTGCAGCCGAGTTGTCTTAAACAGGGCAGCAAAAAGTACCAGCGCCGACCTCACCTGGAAATCTCAACTAGCCGCGAGCGGCTCTCCTCGCAGTCGCCTGGGGTGAACACCTCGCCGCGCAAAAGCCCGAGAGATCCAGGTCTCCCCTGGCGCAACTGCCCTCGAAAGGGATGCTTCACCGCAGGGTTCGAGCCCCTCTCCCCACACTTCACATGTGAGCCCCATTGCTGCGGACGCCCCAAGCTTAACGCATCCGCAGCGCTGCCCCTCAAGTGCCCTTTCCCAAATCCTCGCCCTCTGCTCCCCAGACGGCGGAAGGCGCCCTCTCCACTGCGCGCCCCGCCCCGCCGGTCTCCCGCCCCCTCGCCCAGCTTCCAGCATCACCTGCGGGAGACCGGCGGCGGGATCTCTCCGTCCCGACGGCCCCAGCAACCCCGGAACCAAGCAAGACGCCGGCGACGCAAAGCAGCCGGCGGAACTGGGGCGCAAGGGCAGCTCGCCTCCGCCGCTCCGGCCCCATAGCCGGGCAGCCGCCCTCGCCGCGAGGCGCTCCCTCCCGAGACTAGGGCGGAACGGTCTGGGAGGGCTCGGGGCGCTCCCGCTCCGGAGCGGAGGAGGAAGCGAGCGCGGGGCGGCGCTCCGAAGCGCCACCCCGCGGGGGGCCGAGCGAGGGGCCGCTGCCGAGGTTTGGGAGATGCGGGCTGAATGGCGCATCCCGGCGGAGACCGAGCCAGCCGCGCGCTTGGCTGGGAGGGAGCCCCGTTGGACCCCGCGGCGTTTACGCCGGAGTAAGCGCCTCCGGGACACTTTGGCTTCGCAGCCGATCTCGTCCCGGGCTGCCTTCGGGCGGACGCGCTGCTTTGCTCGCGGAGACTCAGACGGCGCAGAGCGGGGAGAACGAATCCGAGCGTCTCTGCTCGACCGGGCGCAGCTTCTGAAGGCTCCCTCCCCGGTTTGTCTGAGCCCCCTGACGTAGTTGAGGAAGTCAGAGCACAATCCTATGCACGTTTAGACGGGGGAGGACTACAGCTCCCAGCATGCCTCAACCAGCATAACTAGGCGGGGCATGCTGGAAGCTGTAGGCCTTTTACTTTCGTCTAAACGTGTGTTAGGATTACGCCTTAAGCGCGTGCTTTGTTGTCCCATTCCACGCATTCTCCCTTCCGGCATCTCTGGTACTTCTCATCTTGTTATATGGGGCAGAAGGCGGGGTGGAGGAGAGAGGTTTGCCCCAGGGTTGTTGCCAGGTGCTGAAAAAAATCTGGGCGCAAGCCGGTGGCTCACAAGTCTGCAAATGCATGCATGCATGCAGAGCTAATTGCTGGTCTTTTTATGTCAGGAGAGAAGCACAGTAGATTGACTAGTCATCCAAATAACCCAAATACGAGTCCCTCGATTAGTTTGCGCCCCGGCCCATGTCATCCCAAGCTAATGGATTTCCCTGCACCCCCCAGCTTCATTTTCATAGGCGGCAGATGGAGACTGTGGCATGTGGAGAGAGAGAGTCAACATTTCCTTCCTCAGCCTAAAACCCCCCAGAAAATTGGCTCCATGGAAATTCCACGAAGGAACCCCCGCCCCACCCTCACCCCTTTTAGATATCCACAGCTGTGGAGATGAAGTCCGACAGGCTTGGAGAAAGATTGGGGGCCAGAGCTCCAAGGGGCAAGGCCTAGCAGTGCCCTGGCGTGCAGCCATTCTCTTCCCTGTAAGCGCCTCCTCTGCGCTGCTCTTCAGTGCTGCCGATTTGGGTGAAGGGGTTTGGAGAGACACCCGGCTCTTTTTGCCTTCGTACCTCCTCAGCTTGGTTTCGGGGTGCCGTGGCCTTGCCTCACCACCATCCATCACCAGGTGGCACTCATGCCCCATTCACAGCCGCTCCTCACGCGGCTCGATCGGATCACAGTGGCTTGGCATTTGGGGGGTTTCCAAAATCAGTGCCGTGCCCTAGCCCCACCATGCAGAACCGGCGCCCAAGGAGTGGGAAGCAAGATCTTGCAAGCTGCTTCCAGGCCTCCATCCAGAGATGCTGACCCGACTCCAAAGAGCTGATAGAACAGCAACCACCTGAACGGAGGAGGGATGCTCTTCCTTTCAGCAGCATTTGCCTGCATTCTTTCTACCCACACGGGGTGGGCAACTTGTGCAGCCCAGATGTTTTGGCCTAGCATTTTGTCAGCTCTTTGCAAGAGAACCAATGACGAGGGATCATGGTAGCTGTAGACCAAAAGCACTGAAGACCCACAAGTCGTCAGGCCCATCCCTGCATCTAGATGAGGAGTGTGCAACTTCTATTTAAGTGCATGTGGCATATTTAAGACATTTCTGTGCTGCTCAGGACAGCTTCCAATAACTAACAGAAAAATGAGCAATAAAGTCAATGGCGTGTTTGCACACTCTAACCTACCCTGCCCTGGCAATCAATCCTGGAGGGTAGTTCTGTGAGCAATCTGCAGTGTGGCAAACCATGTTTGTGCACCTCTCCCTCCCCCTCGTTCCCTTTTGCACTCTTTCCGTAACACTTTCAGTGTTTTGGGAAGTGTAAAAGTGTGTCTCACCCACTTTTTCTGGGCAAAAGGAGTTGTAACAACTAGTTGTCAGCTGGTTTCCTCTTAAAATTCTTATTAAAGTAACTTTGATAGAGCAATTGGGGGGCAGAGTTGGACTGGGACATAAACAGTTGTATGTTCCAGCCAAAAACCAATCATTGCCCTAGTTTGGCAGCTAACTAGTGATCAAAACTCCCTTTCTCCAAAGAAAGAAAAGAAAAGAAAAGAAATTGGGATGCACATTTGCATTTTCCTGTACTAGCATCTCAGCAGGATAGAGTGAAAAATGTGTGTCACAGACAGAGAGAGAGAGAGACTGTAATCACTCCATCCACTTTTTGCAAGCAATGATCACACACCGTTACTTTTTCTTGGCAGCTATGAAAAAAGTACAGGAGGGAAACATATTTGAGGCCTTGCTGAAGCACTGGCTAGGGTTGGGACCCCCACTGAGGCTTCAAATAGCTCCGCTTGCACAACTATAAACCTCCTCTGTTTTTTTTTAAAGAGCAAATCTATTTGTGCACACTGAGTGTACGATTTTACCTTTTAAAGAAATGATCTGACAAGGTGATACTTGAGAGCTTCGACAGGGTTGACATTGGCTGGCCAACCAGGGGAAAACGAAGGTCAACAGGAAAAAGGCCTCCAAAGGTTCAAAAATGGCTTGTGTGCACAACAAGCCAAGGCCAGCCACCCGAGTGCCGCTTGAGCAGCAGATCGCACTGATGAGCGTCTGGGCAAGTTGGGGAAGGATGTCTTCGCCATTCTGCCAAGCAGCTCAGCAGCTGCTTCCTGATGCCCGGGATGAGGTTGCTTTGGACAACGCGACCATCCACCTTGGGTACCACAACCTAGTTACAACCTTTGGGTTGTCATGGTGGCCTGTTGCCCTCAGACAAGCTGACTCCCAGTTTACCAGAAAGCATCGCACAGGCCCAGTGCGGGGGTGATTTTTAATAGTTAGCCAATGTCACCTTTTGCAAGAGCTCTCATGGACTGTCATAGATAGGATGGCTTGGAGAGCCTTCATGAATATGGTTGCTATAAATCAGAGACAACCTGGCAGCACAGAGGTTGACAGATCATCAAACTCTGTTCAAATGAAATGAAGCTGCTCCTATTATCTCCTATTAACTGCACATTTGCTCTTGGAGCCAACAGAGAAGGTTGCATTCCTGGTTACATTCATGTCCTGCTTGTGGTTTTCTCTTGGGCATCTGATTGCCCAGTGTAAACAAAAGGTCAGACAAGCTGGGCCTTTGATCTGGTCCAACAGGGTTTTTTAAAATGTTCTTCACAGACTTTAAAAAAGCAAGCTATCGACTAGATATGGGAAATATTTAGTTCTCCAGCTGCTGTTGGATTGCAACTCCTGCCAGTGGCTACTCTGGCTAAAGCTGGTAGGAGCTGCAACACTCCAGTTGCGTTGGAGTGCATCTGCCTCCGACCATCTATAGATAGCAATCACATCTAAAATGTGGGGCTCTGGATTGCATTTTCCTGACCCTCTCATTTCTCTTATCCATGAGACACCTGAGGACACTGGAAGTTTAGCAATGCAGGATCAGTTTAGCCTTAATTCACCCGCCATTCTCAGAGTTCTCACAATTGCATTCCTCCAGAAAAGGAGCTATTTAATGCTATTCCGACAATTGCTTCCCCTTCATGCACTTGGCAGCCTGGGGAATCAGGAAATCAACCAAGTGCATGAGAATTATTTACAAAAACTGTCTGGGAGGCATCTTTCATTTCATACTGGAGCTATTTTTCTTCTCTTTCTTTCACCCCCCGTGACAGCCAGTTAATATTTACATTATACATTTTAAATGTAGGTTTATATTTCTGGGTCATTTCTGGCTGACAGGATGGCAATACTGCAGGATGCTGATGGCTGGCCAAACTTGCCACTGTAAACTTTGCAAGAGTCTGCCGTATTCCCAGTTATCGGTGCAGCCGCATACCAGTGGAACCTTGGCTTTGGGGACTTTAAACGTTCCAGGTATAATTTCATCTCCCACAGCGTTTCTGTTTCTTGGGACTAAGTAAGAGATGATGGAAACTGTTGCAGTGGCACATTTTTAACAGCAGGTGCATATCATGACAGTGTGCACACGTAGGCCAGAGTCCAAAAGATCATACCTTATCCTCAATGCATTAGGATGAGCGTGACTGTACTCCATACAACATAAACTCTTATTGCGGTATCATTTCCATACCACCTAATAACCAGGTTCTCCGGGTGGTTTAAAGTTGCTGGGAATGGGAGGCAAATGCAGCAGAGAGTTGCTAAGGATAAGGCTCGTTTGCAAGTTTCTCATCGGAGCATCTCCCTGTCACCGGTTAGCAGGGTGCTGGATTGGACAGGCCTTTGGCCTAAGCCCAGAGTGTTTGCCTTCTGTTCCTAATTGTGATGCAAATGGAATTTACATTGAAGGCCTGAGCTCATTACACATGCTGGTCAAACTTTGCCATCTTCGTTATTTAAGACACATCTTTTAAAGTACCCGTGGAGTGTTTTTTTATTTTATTTTTATTTTTTGTTTTTATGTTTCTGAAAAATGCATGAGCTTTGCTCTCAGAACTGCATAAGCAGCATGCAGAGATTCTCCTAAACCTCCAGAACTGGGTTGAGCCAAAGGCATAGCTTCGGTGGAGAGGCAGATTTGCATAAATTTGCCACATTTCATTAGCATTCTAATAATTAAATGATAAGACACTCTTGCAGTTGCCTTTGCTCTGCAATACGGAGCCATTTCCCAGGAGCAAAGCACTGAAAGGTGCAGGCAAAACCCTTCAGTAATATATTCCTGAATCAAAAGCACTCCTTGCAAAACAGCAGCCCAAACATTAACAATTTCCTTGGCTTAAAAGTGAGCATTGTGCATTGACTTCTTCATTAGCAAGCATCTCTCATATCCTCCTAGGTTTATTAAACAATCTTCTGCAGTTACATTAATTACCGCCTGAAGGCAACTTCTTCAGTTTTTATGAGCCCCCTGGAAACA